AGCAATAGTATGCCAGGGCATAACGCCTTCATTGTCAAAAAGATCCGAGACGAGCATTATCTCATTCTGTGCAAATTCCTCAAAATAAACAGATTTACCACCAATAAGAATATTTTTGTTATTCCAAATAATTTGTTTTTTTCCTCTATTGATTTTTTCAGTTTCCAGTGACCATATATCCAAACATTCTGTGACAAAGCCTGTAAACTGCACCGGTAATCTATCTGTTATATAGTTACACTGAAAAATGATGTTACCGCCTATATTTTCTAGTTTCTTTTGCAAAAACAATTTCCAAGGGTGACTAAAATCAGGGTTCAAAAAACATTGGATCCACAACACTCTTTGCTGTTTCTTCATAATGTACATGTCTGGTATATTCAAGCCCCCTTGGCCCACACCCCCTATCACTGTCTTTCTCGCTATTTTATCCCTGCCCTCCCAAAGAAATTCATACATGATTTTATTTACTTCCTGAATTGTATTTTTGTCAATCACTGTTGTATTAAGTATATAAGAAAATTGAGAGATTCCAAGTGTTTTGATTATTTGAACTTTACCGAACAACGACAGTTTCCCAGACAGTTTTCATATTATTAATTGCTTTAATAACATTTTTTGTTTTGACTTCATGACTGTCATAAGAAAAATATATGCCTACTATCTTGATAGGAGATGTGGGCCACATAACCCCAAATTTTTGCTCTTTTCTACCCCTCCATCTACCCAGCCAGAGCACTTATGAAATATATTTAGTAAGTTCAATAGCACACCGACTGATTCCTCATTAGACAAAAAGCAGGTCATGTTGTCTGCAAATGCAGCATTTTAATTTCTTCCCCCAGACTGGTTATTGCCGAAATATCCTTTGTTATCTTTGATGGCGATGAGAAGAGTCTCCAATACCAGGATGAAGAGCATAGGTGATAGTGGTTCCCCTGCCTCACCCCCCTTCCCAGTTTGAAATAACCTGTACTGATGAAGCCCCTGTCCATGACACAACTCTCCGGGTTAGAGTATAACGTTTTTATCTACTGTTGGAAGTTTTGTCCAAATTTAAATTTTTCAAGCACTTTAAACAGATAGGCCCAACTAACAGTGTCAAAAGCCTTTTCAAAGTCGATTGCAATGAGTAAGGCTGCTAGGTTGGAATCTTTTGTGTATTGATAAATTTCATCAATCAACCTCACGTAATCACAGATGTTACGGCCTTTTACAAATGCTGCCTGTGTTAGACCAATTAATTCTGGCAAGAGTGTTTCAAGTCTTTTAGCTAAGCATTTTGAGGCGATTTTCACATTTACATTCATCAGAAATAACGGTCTCCAGTTTTTTAACATTAAGCAATTTCGTCCCGTTTTTTCGATTAGGGTGATCATGCTTTGTCTTTGCGAGGTTGAAAATTCCCCATTTTCGAAGGCATAATTCAACGAGTTAACGAGCAGTTTACCAATCAAAGGCCAAAAGGCTCTCTTGCCAGAGAGGAGTTGAATCTCCAATATGATGGGCCATGATTCTGGTGCCTGTTTTTGAGTTTTAATACAACTGCAGAGTGATCAGAGCTTAACCCAGGAATTATTTCGATTCTATTGGTAATATTTTGTAATTCGTCTGATATAATAATATAGTCCAATCTACTTTGCTGAATGAAGGGGTGCCGTCTTCGCCAAGTGTATTGCCGCATTTTCTCATTCCTAACCCGCTAAATATCTATCAGATTGAACTGTTCCTGAATATCTTCCATTATACAAATTGAACTTTTCCATGGCCGAGAATTACTCTGTGATCTGTCAATACTATTAATTGTAAAGTTTAAGTCACATCCCCACACAATGGTACAGTCTGGGTCAGAAATATTATTGGCAAGTCTAGTTTTAACATTATTCAAGAAAATCCTATGTTCTGCCTCTCTGTTTGGTGCATAAGTATTTAGGAGGATACAGGGGGACCGTCCATTTCAGTGGGGATAATCAGAAGCCTTCCCTCGTCATACTGTATATTTTCTAAAGTTACCTTTAAGCCATATTTCTAACAATAATCATAACACCTCTACTCACGTTTGTGCCATGTGAAAACCAACATTTACCCCTGAACTGGGAAGACCAAAATGGTTCATCAGGTGGTGTGCTATGTGTTTCTTGTAGGTAAACTACGTCAATTTTCTTCTCATTTATCCAGTTTGCCACTTTTTTCCTTTTTTTAAATTCTCTGAGCCCTCTGGTATTAAAAGTCTTTACTGATAACTGTATATCCTTACAATGAATGTACAATGAATAGTAGATATTTTGCTTCACCCATTTTTCAAAAATTAACAGAACAAGAATACAACAGAACAACAACAACAACAACAACAACCCAAACCCCCCTCACACAGTCTGATAAAACATATTGCATAGAATTGCTGCACTGCACTGGATGGCTTCCGCTTCATAGTTATTAATAAAAATGTTACCTGACTTGAGTAATAAAACAAAATTTGTCCCGGTTACCATGTGATGTCTTGCACTGTAACTGGATCCATTTTACCCTGTGCATTCTCTACCATACAGGTTTCTGGTACTCTCCATGCTATATAGCATTTCTTTTCCAAGAGAGACTGACTGTAGAACATTTATGCACCTTTTTCAGATATGTATTAAACCAATTTTGTTATATGGATCAACAACTTGGGGACATGACATACTAGACAATAATAGATGGGACAAAACACCAA